TAGTTTCGGAGCATGGGCTCGTCTGCAACAGATTTTAGCGGTTTTGGACCGATTTGGACCACTTAGGGTGGAACAATCAAAAAATTATCAAAAACGGCACCGTTTCAGACCACGGCGCGTCTAATGGTGAAGGTTTCATCGAAATCGGTCGAGTAGTTTCGGAGCATGGGCTCGTCTGCAACAGATTTTAGCGGTTTTGGACCGATTTGGACCATTTAGGGTGGACCAATCAAAAAATTATCAAAAACGGCACCGTTTCAGACCACGGCGCGTCTAATGGTGAAGGTTTCATCGAAATCGGTCGAGTAGTTTCGGAGCATGGGCTCGTCTGCAACAGATTTTAGCGGTTTTGGACCGATTTGGACCATTTAGGGTGGACCATTCAAAAAATTATCAAAAACGGCACCGTTTCAGACCACGGCGCGTCTATTGGTGAAGGTTTCATCGAAATCGGTCAAGTAGTTTCGGAGCATGGGCTCGTCTGCAACAGATTTTAGCGGTTTTGGACCGATTTGGACCACTTAGGGTGGACCAATAAAAAAATTATCAAAAACGGCACCGTTTTAGACCACGGCGCGTCTAATGGTGAAGGTTTCATTGAAATCGGTCCAGTAGTTTCGGAGCATGGGCTCGTCTGCAACAAATTTTAGGGGTTTTGGACCGATTTGGACCACTTAGGGAGGACCAATCAAAAAATTATCAAAAACGGCACCGTTTCAGACCACGGCGCGTCTAATGGTGGAGGTTTCATTGAAATCGGTCCAGTAGTTTCGGAGCATGGGCTCGTCTGCAACATATTTTAGGGGTTTTGGACCGATTTGGACCACTTAGGGTGGACCAATCAAAAAATTATCAAAAACGGCACCGTTTCAGACCACGGCACGTCTAATGGTGAAGGTTTCATCGAAATCGGTCCAGTAGTTTCGGAGCATGGGCTCGTCTGCAACAGATTTTAGTGGTTTTGGACCGATTTGGACCACTTAGGGTAGACCAATCAAAAAATAATTAAAAACGGCACCGTTTCAGACCACGGCGCGTCTAATGGTGAAGGTTTCATTGAAATCGGTCTAGTAGTTTCGGAGCATGGGCTCGTCTGCAACAGATTTGAGCGGTTTTGGACCGATTTGGACCACTTAGGGTGGACCAATCAAAAAATTATCAAAAACGGCACCGTTTCAGACCACGGCGCGTCTAATGGTGAAGGTTTCATCGAAATCGGTCCAGTAGTTTCGGAGCATGGGCTCGTCTGCAACAGATTTTAGGGGTTTTGGACCGATTTGGACCACTTAGGGTGGACCAATCAAAATATTATTAAAAACGGCACCGTTTCAGACCACGGCGTATCTAATGGTGAAGGTTTCATTGAAATCGGTTCAGTATTTTCGGAGCATGGGCTCGTCTGCTTTTAAGGGGGTGTATGGTTCTGGACCATTTTGGTCCGATTGGTCCAGTCAGAGTGAACCAATCGCCAAAAAACGAAAAACGGCACCTATATGAGTTCCCTGCTATTGAATGGTGAAAGAATTATCAAAATCGGTCCAGTAGTTACTGAGCATGGGCTCGTCTGCTAATCTCGTCTGCTTTTTAGACACTCCCTTTGGGAAACGATTCGGCCCTAGGGCTTTTTGATTTTCCCAGACAAAGTTTTACTGAATATTCTGAGCGGAAGAACCAATTTCAAAGAAGATATTTACGGATTGTGTGTTCACTAACAGCAACAGCAAAAGTAAGTGACTGCGTGTTTACATGCTTTTGCTGTCAACGTAATTCAACTAAACAAGGTTATCGTTCCAATGCCAATGTATTTATTGCTGCAGAACATGGTCGGAATAATCATTATTTCTACATAATGCACGCAAAAAACGAACAATTTAAATGCGTGAAGCATCTTAACGTGCCACAATGAAACATTTGATATTGTTCCAGCAGGGATCCAAGACGCGTTTGATTCAGCGTTTCACCCAATTTTTTAATTTTCCTCACGGTTTCCTCACTCCTGCTGGACTCCATATCTTTATTCTAACTTCTGGCGTTTCACCATCTTCATCCTCAGCTTTTTCAAACCCTAAATAAGGGGGAAGTAGGAATTTCATCTTTCATACTCAACGCAGCCTAATAATGAAAAACACAAACAAATAATCACGGTGACTATAAATATGAGCATAGTATCAATATGATATTAACACAATATTAAGATTAAAGTGTAAAATATCAAATGAATATGATATTAACTGTTGCGCCGGTACGGCATGTGGTAAATCTCTTCCCAACCTTGGGCTGTGAAAATGCAGTTTTATTCACCTCGGTTTTTGGCTACGGACCTCGTGCCTACCGGCACTCGGTCCTCCGCACAAAAACCTCGGTGAATAAAACGCATTTTCCCAGCCCCGGTCGGGAATATATATTCCCATACCTGCTACATTGCATGATTAAACCGAGACATCCAGGCATTTTAATGGCACGTGCACTGTACCACACTTTTCAAAGTTTAATGCAGTGCTTTAATATTGCCAGCCGTGTGGTTCAAGGCGGGATGTGGTTAAACGCGTTGAACCACACGGCTGCTGACGTCACTATCAATTATAGTTGTGAGCTTTTTGGCAGGTATGGGAAACACCTTCCAGCCCTAAGGCCGGGAATTCAATAAATGTCACCTTGCTTTTTTAGCGAAAAGCACCTCGGGCCTATCGGCCCTCGGAGTTTTCGCTAACAAACCTCTGTGACATTTATTGAATCATCCCGGCCCCGGGCAGGAATATATTAAACTGCAAAACTGCATTTTTAGGTCATTGCAACAATCTCAATGAAATGAAACTACAGCAGACATATTTTTAACATTGCACACAACTTCATAGGAAGATGTATGTATCGTGTCAGACATTGTGATATTTATTCACTTTCGATGACAACACAAAAGCAAATATTCTAAATAGCCAGACGTTTCGGCCTCAAGGTGCCTTCGTCAGTGACAATACCGAGATACTAATACATTAATAAATTAATCAATATCTTTTACACTTTCAAAATACACATGACGTAATTGTCTCACATATTTCGTCTGTGCTGAACCAGCCATTACCGCCTTCATAGCTGGCTTGAGTATCATTCCATGGAACTACACGCATTGCCAGCTCGAGTTATCAACCGTCTTCACGACAGTTTAGCTAGCAAAGGCACCAAAGTTGACCAAAGCTGACGAAATCTCAATCTCACAAATAATGCAAAAAATTCATTGGACATATTTCCAATTTATCATTTCAATGTTATAATTATTAGTGCAAACTAAGCTGAAAAATAGTAAGAATCAACTATGAACCTTAGTTGACCAAATCGTACCAAATGTGAGCCAAATGTGTGCGACATAACCGTCTTGAAAATTGCTACCTTATGGCGTCTTTTCTTCATGGCAATTGATGTGTGTCGAATCCATAACTATAATGTATTTCATCCAGCTATGCTGAACCCAAAAGGTATGCCAAAATTTCATAACAATGATCGTCCAGTTTCTATTGCTATTTACGCCAAACAAATCGCATTCAATAGTGGTGCTAGAGGGAGTAGGATGCTTGTTGCCAACGTGATGCACACTTACGCAAATGTTTTTGTTGTTCAGAAAAGTTACTGGAAATTTGCATGCAGCTCCGGAACTAAATTCGGGTGGCATGACAACACAGTTGAGTCAGCACACCATCTAGGCCAGATAAGAAGACGTCTCCATCTGACCCCGAGGCTGGTGAAAAAATAAGATTGTACATATCGCACCTGGCGGGATTCAGAAACTTTAGAGGAGCCATCGGAGCACCCCAGACTTTTCGAAATCATAGGTGAATGAGGTGCCGATTAGCACAGATGAAATCATCGGTCAGCCGTCCGCAACAACGTTTTTTTTTCGGCAGAGCGAAAATGTGCAACAACTACAGCAGGCATGCAGTTTGTAAATCATCAGGCTTTTGTGTATATGTGAGACCGGCAAGCAAACAAGTGGACGAACGGCTTTACGGCATTCATGGGGTGGACCGGGCGACACGAGTTAGGTCAGATGGGTCAGTGGAGGCGGGAATCAGTCAGTAGGAGCCTGGAGCTGAAGATCGGCCTACACAAGCTAGATCCGACGGGTCAGCAGAGGCGGGGCCAAGAGCCGAGGAGAAACGTTCCTGAAACCTGTGCGTCCCTGCTTTTGCAGGACCCTTCTCTTCTCTCTTTATTCTTTGAGTAACACTTACGGACACCCAACGAGTCTTTAGCTAACATGACGGCGTGGCTTCTGTCCTGACCTACGGATACCTACTGCTAGTTCCTGCAGCAGAGAGCAGGGAAAGGGCTGCTGCGCGAGGGTTTTCGCCGGTCGAGGGAAGGGAAACCATATCTGCGACCTACGTATTTTTTTTCTCGAGATAGTCTGAACTCTTCTCAAGCAGATTTTCCTGAGAATGGCACCGATACATGAAATGGATCCGAAGCAGCACATGTTGCTTCTCATTTCGATCCATTGCACCCCGCTCCAGCTACCGTTCGGGCTCCCTCCCCAATATAAATGGCTGGTTCCGGTGGATCGGGTGAGTCGGCGGGCCGGTCCTACCGATAAACTGATCCACCCCTGAGAGGCGGGCTCCTTATGCCGATCTCGTCCGCCATCATTCAGATGTAAATGTGCGAATGTCGACGGGCGGTGTGGTCTGTTTAGACAGGCTGGCCGACGGTGGAGCATCCCTGTCGGTAATCCCTTTAGTTGGGGCTCGGACAATAGCCGGCGTTGGGCCGCATCGCCGGCGGCCACTGATCGATGACGGCCGAGGACAGCCCGCTACGGGCCACCCCTGTGAACGGTGACACCTCCTAGCCGTCCCATTGGCCGACGGTGGATGGGCGGGGCCTCGCCGTCGGACCCGCCGCCTTCGCCAATCACCGCGCAGCCTGACGTGACGTCACAGCATGGAGCGCTGCGACTCGCTCAGACGGGCTGGCCCTCTCGCGGCGAGCGGCGAATGTTGGTTTAGCCAGGGTCTTGTTTTCAATTCATTTCGCCTTGCCGTCAGTATTGTGCGCGGCGCGCGGTAAAGAAACAGGCTCCGTGTTTTCACAGTGATATTACTGTAAACCGGCTCGCGAACGGCCATAATACGAGTTGAAGAAGCCCAATCTAAACTCTCGGACCATCGATAAATATTTTACTGTTTATTGAATAAATGTGCCGCAGTGTTTGCCGTCGGTGACCGAGCTCGGCGCTGGTGCTGGTGTTGGTGTCGGCGGTGACCGGTGGCCGGCAGAGTTTCCAAGTGTTTCACGACGTTTCCCTCGGGCGGTCGGGCGCCGCCGTCGGCCGGCACAATGCACACGCTGTTCGGCGCCGACCAGAACGCCTACTACCGGCACTCGGGCACCTACCCGAACGCGCTGCAGCCCATGGCCGCCATGTCGCCCATGACGCCCATGAGCTCGGCCGGCTACGGCGGCTACGACCAGTACTCGGTGGCGGCGCGCTACAGCCCCTACGGCACGTCCTACAGCTCGCACCAGATGCCTGTCAAGGACATGGTGAAGCCACCCTACTCGTACATCGCGCTCATCACCATGGCCATCCAGAGCACGCCAGAGAAGAAAATCACGTTAAGTGGCATCTACCAGTTCATCATGGAGAAGTTCCCCTATTACCGTGAGAACAAACAGGGGTGGCAGAACTCGATTCGGCACAATCTCAGTCTCAACGAGTGCTTTCTCAAGCTGCCCAGGGACGACAAGAAGCCCGGCAAGGGCTGCTACTGGGCGCTCGACCCCGACTCGTACAACATGTTCGACAACGGCAGCTACCTGCGGCGCCGGCGGCGCTTCAAGAAGAACCGCGACGGCGCGGCGGCCAACGCCGACAAGAAGGAGCCCCGGCCCGGTGAGGCGAAGGTCAAGGAAGAGATTCCCGAGACCGGCGCGGACGGAGCGGCCACCGGCTCCGGCGCGCCGTCCCCCGTCGAGCCACCGCCGCTCAAACCGAAAACGGAGCCCATCGAGCTGCCCGTGCTGGCGACGGGCGCGGCGGCCGAGCCGTCGGAGCCGCCACCGCCGCCGCCTCCGCCGCCGGCCACGGCCGAGCCGCCCATCTACACCAACATGGACTGTCCGCCGCCGGCGCCGACACCGCTGGAGCCACCGGCCTGCTCGGCCAACAGCGCCTTCAGCGTCGACTCTCTGATGACGTCCCGGTCATCCCCGGCGCAGCTGGACTCTGTGGCTGCGTACACGCCGGCGCCGCGCGGCCTCTACCCGTCCGAGCTGGGCTACACGCCCCAGTACTCGGACGAGATGGCCTGCATGGCCGCCTCGGCACAGAACATGGTGCAGTACGGCGGCCGGGCCGGCTGGTACCAGAGCGAGCCGCCGCCGCCGCCGCCGCCGCCGCCAGCCGCCGTCACCACCGAGCCCTTCCCCTCTGTGCGGGAGATGTTCGAGAGCCACCGGCTGATCCCCGGGTCCATGACCTCGTGTCAGGTGTCCCAGCCCAGCCCGAGCTCATGTCAGCTCGGATTCCGGCCCAGTTCGCCCTACAAAAGCTTCTACCAGGACTGCCACAAGTACTGACCCGCCCCGCGTCTCTAGTGTCGCCGCGACGGACGTGGTGCGCTAAGACGGACCCGGCGCACTGAGACGTACTCGGCGCGCCGCGGCTGAACCGGCCGCCGTATCTGGAGATGTGATTCGGCCGTCAAACTCGGGCGAAGCAGGCGTCTTCTCCGGCTACTGACGGTGAGGATTCAGCCAGCGCAGAGACGTCCATCACACCAGCGCAGGGAATCTCATCAGCTGAGGTCAGCCAACTACACGTCCCACTAGCTGATGGCCATCGGCTGCCGGGCGGCGCCTGGACATGCCATCAGCTGGCCATGCCACGTGCCGCTCTGGGCTCCCGGGCGGGGTCTGTCAGACCGCTTGGCAGACGGCCGCCGCCACCGCGGGGCGGGCTCTCGGGGCTGTTTTATTTGTCGTCAGGCGGAGGCGTCTGCGTTTGTTGGTATGCTGTCATGTGCGGACGGGTCGGATGAGGGTATTACAGGTGTAGGTCTCTAGTGGAGGTGTGGGGAAGGCGCCCTGGCGTTCTGTCGTAGCAATAGCTAGGGTATTTATCGTGTGCGCGTGCGCTCGACTTTGATAATTGGTCGGCGCCCTGCTCAGTGCGAGCTGATCGGCACAGCTCTGGGGTGGAGTTGTCTTTCTTTCCGATTATGATTGTATTGATTGTTGGGTGTACCTGCCATTGTTCGGTAAGCTCTGAAGGGGATCCGCTCTGCAGGCGCGGAGAAACACCCCGCCGCCCGGTGCCGGACGCTTCTTTAGCAGTAGCATTGCTTACTACGGAGCGTGCTTGTCGGATAATGGAACGAATGCGGGTTGAGGTCAGAAGCTAAAAGGACACAAACTGATGGGACGAAAGGTGTTCATAAGTATTCCTGCGCATAGAGAAACACTGTAATTATTTGTAAGTCTTATTCAGCTTTGTTCGGTACTAGAAACATTCTATTGGGTAGCCTCACAGCAAAATTCCTGTTGTACTTTAGAAACTGGCCATGTGTCGTCCTTACAATTATCTGTGTCTACTTTAGGGGTTGACTTTCGTCGTTCCAGCCAGGTATTTGGTGTATACGATGCCGTAGTATGTCGAGTTTTGTTATTGCTAATCAGTCTTTATATGTGAGATATCTCACGGACAAAGTGTCGCCGATGTTCGAGCAGCGTCTCTTCTTTGTACCCTCTCGGATAATGTGAGCCGGTGTGGCGGTCGTTGGGGATGGGCCAGTGTCGTTCAGGGTCCCAGCCGTACATAACCGCCAGTGATCGCGGAGCGTCACGCCGTTACAGGTATTTCGAGGCCAGCCTTCTGACGGTGCGCCGGCGGGCGCTCCGGTCACTGTGCGGGGTGGTGTCGAAATCCAGCCCCTCTTCTATCAGTGTTGGCCGTGGGGGGTACCGAAATCTGGCCCACTCCGATCACAATGTGGGGTGGTATCGAAATCTGGCCCCCTTCGGTCACTGTATGGGGTGGTATCGAAATCCGGCCCGGCCACCGGCCGAGCGCTGCCATATTCGCGAACATTGAACTATTCGTTTGATAGATGATGCACATTGTTTTGTGTTAACTAGTCAGATTGTGTTTGACGTTGATAAATATTGTAAATAGCCACTGTAAAATGCGCTGACTAAATAAAACTAGAACCGCATCTCTTTTTGTAGCTGGGTTCAGCGAGCAAGCAATTTAATCGAAACCAGAACCGACACATGCATCAAACGGCAGGAGCAAAGGATTCCAGGTCGAGCTAGTGGGAAATATCGTGTCGGCAGCAAGAAAATGTCCGAAAAGATGCTACGATGTGGGGTAGCATGTTACACTTCTATTTCGTGGTTCCTTCGTAATTATAACGCTGTTTAACCGTCTTATCGTAGACGATCATAAGTCTCCCTTCTAATAAACATGCGTTTTCTTTTTATTTGCAGACAAGAGCAATAACGCATAAATCCTTATTGGTCTTCACACGCGCCAGAGAAGACTAGTCAAACATGGCTCTATCTCATATCATGCACATTTATCTTTGCTCTAACGCCAAGGGCACTAAGCGTTGCCGAACTGACCGGGGTCGGTGTTCGTGCACGAAATTCAGGCCCAGGTGAAGGGATGTGCGCCAATAAGCATCCTTTGGCGGCCATGTTTCAACTTACCCCGACCCTCCGGTGGCCGACCTTCTCACGGTTGAAGTCCAATTAATGCAAACATGATAAGACCAGCCCTTCATACTTGGTAATCTTACAAAACAAAAGAAATGATCAACTAATATTGGCCGTTTTCACGACGGAACTTTCGCAGAGGAACTTATTTGATACCTAAAAAGTACCTACCCTTAGAGGCCTTAACTTCTCTCAAACTGAAATATTTTATGTTCAAAATAATTTTAGAAGTTTAAATCCGGGCATTTTTTGCCCTCAAATCACTTATTTATTTACAAACACAGCAATTTTTGGTTCTAGTAGCCCACCTTTCGACTATGAGGTATTAAATCAGCGTGGCAACTTGCTCCCTCTTTGCTCCCTCGGGTATCTAATTCCGGAATTCTTAAAAACAAGGAAAGTATATATCGAGTTCTCTTTTATACCTATTCAGTTATGTTTTAATGGTGATTAAAATATGACAAATTTTTTAATTACATTTCATATAAGAAAACACGCAAAACAATGAAACAAAAATAACTACGGCAGATAATTACCTTCAGGTATCTAATTCCGACCAATCAGCACCTCAGTAGGATATGACGTCATACAAGAATGGTGGTGAGGGCCGTTTGCAGTCCCGGCCGGTAGGTCACGTGACCGCCGGGCGCCTCGGGTCACGCGGCGGCCGGGAGTCGGACGCGGGGCGTGGTCGCGGGCAAGGCCCTATATACCAGGTAGGGTCGTCCGGCGATTCTACCTTTTCGTGACGTCAGCTCGTAACGTCATTTGGAGTCAAGTCTCGAAGCCCCGTTCAATCCCCATGTAAATGAGCGATTTTCGAAGCACTGTAGAATGAAGTTTGCACAAGATATATCAAACCTAAGTATCTTATCTGAAAGAGCAGACAATTTTCTGCAAGTTATCTATTACGTGTTTTTCGCTAAATCTTTTGCTTTTTTCACAAAAGCGTAAAATGTCCCCCCATGTCTCCGCAGCCTCCCTGCCGCCGGCCGCCGCGCGGTCGCGGTAGTGTAGTGGTTAGCGTGCCCGCGCAGTATTCCAAAGGTCCCGAGTTCGAATCTATGCGGTGCGGAACTTTAATTGCAATTCCAAGCTGAATATACGCACATCCATAATAAATTATTATTCGTATAGCTAAACTGTCACCAAGCTATCCATATAAATTGACTTCACCCAAAATATCGGCAAGATTCTATAAAAATATAAATTCAAATATGGCGGCTTGGACTGCCGCGTGCGTTAGGCTCCGCCCATAGCTCCGCCCACATGCGTGACGTCATTCGTGTTAGTGGACACACGCGGAGATAGGGGACGACATGGGCCTGGTCGCGGGCGGACGCGCGGGGCATCATGCTTTGCTTTGCTTGCTTTGTCAACTTCATATAACTTACTATCGCATTCGTGTGAAAGCCAAACACTGCTCAGTGCCCTTAGAAATTGAGTTTTGGAAAGCTCAAGTCCCTATAGCTCCTCAGGTCGGCAACAGTTGAAGCCTCATCTGAACCCATGTGAAAAAAAAACGAGGGTAAGGAACCTTGTGTTGCTTTTTCTTTTACCGTCATAATTATCTCAAACCATCACAATTTTGAGTTGCCACATTGTCTGCTTCACTACATTCGTGTAAAACTTGGGTGAAGGCTGGTGGCTCAAAGAAAGGTGAAGATATTTCTTTAAGTGCCTAATCCGTGAAATTGAAATATCCCGGCTTTACAAATCTACACTTTTCATTTTCTCCACGATACATTTTTTAAAATTGTTTAAATTTTATCTACATTTGTTAAAATCGGGGCTTTGGTTTTGTGTAAACTAGATCATAAAGTTTACTATAGTTTTGTGTAACCTGATGGCTGAAGAAAATAGTAATTTTGCTAAAATGATGTGCGGAAATTTGTTGCTTTCCAAATCAAATTACTCATACCTATATTTCATTCAAAATTAGGAGGCATTATTACTGTTTTTTCTTGTAACATGAACTGAGTTTGGGTACGGTGCTCCGGAAACGTTGTGGAACTTTAAGCTAGCTAGAGCAGTTTCCATAAAAATTGTTTAGATAGTTGACATGGCTTGTTGACAACTCTTTTGCTGTTTCTAAAAAAGTGAAAAAAATATTTTCCTGCATTAAGCACACAAGGCATGTTATTCTCATAAGCTATCGAATGTGTGTGTGTGTTTTTTTAAGCTGTTTTTTTTTTAAGCTTTTAAGCTGCAACTTCAGTTACTTCACTTTAGAACATATTGCCCAGAATGCGTCACTGATCATGAGCTGGTATATCATATCATATGTAGCAAATACATAAATGAGAATAGTGTGTCATGAATTTTTGTGCATGCTTCTGGATCATCTGTAATTACATCAAAGGCTCGGCTCAAGAGTGTCCTGCCGACCAGCTTATGCCCAACCCTTTCTGTCCGCAGAACGTCGCCTGCGACTCCCGCACGCCGTTTGCCCCGGCCGTCCGTACTGGTCTTCGCGCTGCGAGCCGCGCTGGAGTTCGCGGCGGCGTCGTGGAGCTCCCATCGGGACGGCGTGTGATGCCCGCGTCGAGCTTATAAGCCGTGAGCTTCGATTGGCGGCTCACGCGGTCACCAGCTGTATGTACAGCCTCGGCCCCGACGACCCCGCTAATGGCCGAGACCGGCATACCCCCGGCATGGGTCCGCTGTCCGGCGCAGCGCTGGCCGCCCGCATGCTATGCTACTTTTGGCTGTATCGCTGCCCAGCGGGAGCGCGCTCCACGCTGCGGAAGAGGTACACGTTGCGACCCGACTGAGGACTGCAACCGGATGGTGACACGTCGGCCTCTGCGCCCTGGCCGGGGCAGGCGTGACCGACGTCACAGTGGAGGAACGCCCAAACAAGACCAGCCCACCGTCGGAGCAGCATGGAAATATCATGTTCTGCCTGGACGTCGGACCCGGCGGCCGCAGTGCACCTGCACACGTGCGGAGAGGGGCGCTGGAGGCTACTCTGGAGCTTCTGCCATTCCGCGGCGCGACTGCTGGCAAAACGGCGGCGATTGAGGCGGTTGGGAACAGCTGCAGCAATGGTGATGGCGGTGATGGCGACATGGCGGTTTGGGACTTCATCTCAGCGCGGCCGCCGCCCAGTCGCCGCTGCGCCCGGCTGCTCAGCCACCTACCGGGCGGGGTGGCCCTTACGGCCCTCACACCCGTTCGGTCTGCGGCCACGTTGTGGGGTGGCGGTCGCGGGGTTAGCGGCGTTGGACTTCGTCCTTTATCCAGACTGCACCGTACCATCTGAACGGATGGATCTGCCAAGAAAGATGACATCCAAGGCGGCTATGAGGCGATCACAAAGCTTCACCAAGAGCTTCTCCTTCATGGGGCCGGCCGGCCGTTAAGTCGCAACACCGGCTGCCGAGTGCCAACAGCTGCGTGCGCTGGCGCCGACGCGTTGTGGGCCGCGCTGCTGACGCCCAAGCTGCGATATCAACCATCTATGAATAAGTGGCAGCGGTGGCGGCTTGTCAGTTGTTAACGTGCCTTAACAGACGTTGCGAATAGCCCGCGTTGGAATCGCATGGTTGGGAACACAACGCAAGTAAAAATGGGCTTCCTTGATGAACCTACTTTTTAAGCATTGTAGCCTTTGTAATTTTGGATGTTTTGCTGTAGATATTATTTTCTACATATATACTATATAGGCACTCACGTGCTTTAAATCGCGCAATGCAATTGAACCATGGTAAAGACAATGATAAATGAACTGAGAGCTGACATGCCCCATGCTTTGTGTGTGTGTGTGTGTGTGTGCGTGTTTTGTTTTTTGTTTTTGGCGAGTCGATAAAAGTGGTTTTGGACACTGGATGAGTTTTTAGGGGTGTGGTGAGGGGGAATGTAATTCCACAGACCTTTTGTCAGATTCACCAATGCAGTAGGTCTGTGCGGTATTTAGATATCGGAGCATTCTTTGAAAGTCGTGAATAGGGCAACTGAGTACCTACCTATAGCCGTGATATCCCCTCACAAAAACTTCTTTTAAATAACCGGGGATAAGTACATAAGCAGAGTAATTGCTATTACGAACACCTAGGTATCACAATGCTGAGCGAATAGGAAAATCTATAGATGGAGAATTGTGCCGCGTTACGGGTGCTCGGGCGCAGCCAATCCAGCGTTACCCCAGCGGTGACCTTGACCCGCATCGTCTGTCTCGGCTCCAAAGCCAAACCGGCGTGGAATTGGGAGCGCTCGAGCACTCATGGTCCAGCGCAATTCTCCACCTGAATCCATTCCTGATACACATTTGCTTGCTCATAGTCATGTAACCCCGGTAAATTCATCTAACTTTCATATTGGTCGCTCCATAGACAGATGGCCACAGATATCAACTTAAAAGGCCATTGTTGCATTCATTTAGTGGAGATCATTAAAGAGCTGTGATAGGCCACAAGTCGCGTGACATCATACGTGTAACAACCAATAACGTCGGCCTGCAAAACCCAATGGAAGCGGCTAGCAGCGTGCAATAAAA